ATGTAAGATCTTCTAGCAGCCTTTACCTTAGCCAGGTAACGGTTAGTTGCGATCCTGACAGCAATTTTGTTGTAATCTGTCGGTTTCCTTCTCTTGCATGGTTCTTAAATTATCCCACAGCAGTGCAGATTCTTTTTCTGATGAGTTGTGTAGAATATAACCTTTTAAATCTTTTTTCATCAGAACTCACTTCTGTGTGCAGACTTTTGCATATGAAACTTGACTAGGCTGTGATGTGTACCTGCTTCAGTTGTGGCCATTTTCAGTTTCATTTACTGCCGGTAGATAGGAATCAAAAAAAGTGTAGCGGAATTCAAAACTTAGGTAGAGTATGGTTTAATAGCAGCCTATTAATCAGTATGTGTACTGTACTTCTTGACTCTCCCCCAATACAAACTCTTATTTGTGCATCCATATTTATTTTTTCAAGTACATATTAAAAACCTACAGTGGTGCCTCAACTTACGAACGTCCCTACATATGACCATTTCGAGTTATGACCAGCTCTGGCCGCAAAATTTTGCTTCTACTTGCGACTGGAGCTTCCACTTACGAACAGAAAAAGGCAGGGGAAAAGGCGGGAAATTCAAATTTCTATCTGTAGGTGGAGACGAGGCTGCTTCTTTGTAGCTCTTTCGGGACTGCCTCGTTTCTGCTTCTGATTGTGTGTGGGGGGGGGTTGTGCTTGCGTGTGTGTGTTTGCAGGGAGGCTTCGGGCTGCCTTATAAGGTAAAGTGCTGTTTTTTGCTCTTTAAAAACTGTTCTGGGTGTTTTTGCAGCATGGTTTTGAGCTGAGGGGGGTTATGTTTCTGTGCTGTGATGGGTCTTGGGGGGTTTGTTTGTTTTTTGTTCCCCCCATTTCCAATGGGTCTTGGAGGGCTTGTTTGGTTTCTTTGTCCCCCCCCCCATTTCTGATGGGTCTTGGGGGGTTTGGTTGCTTTTTGGGTCCCGCCTATTTTCAATGAGTCTTGGGGGATTTGGTTTCTTTTAGGCTTTTGATGGGTCTTGGGGGGGTTTGGCCCCCCCCTTTTCTGATGGGTCTTGGGGTTTGGTTACTTTTTGGGGTTGTTTCTCCATTTCTGATGGGTCTTGGGGGGTTTGGTTGCTTTTTGGGGGGGTTCCCCATTTCTGATAGGTCATACATGCTTCCCTTGCTTTTTCCTTTGTTTCCTTTGCATTTCCAACCTGCCCCCTTTGTTCTCTGTGCATTTCCGATCTGCTCCGTTTGTTTTCTGTGCATTTCCAATGGGTCTTGCACGCTCGATTGCTTTTCTCTCCCCCCTCCCTTTGGCCGGAAGGGATTAATTGCATTTCCAATGAGTCTTGCAGTGATTTTAGGGTGTGTGTGATTTTTTTTCTTTGGCCGGAATGGATTAATTGGATTCCAGTGCATTCCTATGGGAAATGGTGCTTCGACTTACGACCACTTCGAGTTACAGTACGTCCATCTTCTGGAATGGATTATTGTCGTAAGTGGAGGCACCACTGTACTTTCTTACCCAACAACATTAAGTGTGCTTGTGGGAGCTACTTGGGCATTTGCAGAAGCCTTCTCGGGTTTATCCAACTCTGAAGGAGATTGATGACTTATTCTGATAGGAACCCTTGATTGCGTAGAGTTACATGCAAGCTGCTGGCAAAGAATTCAGTTTCTGTTCAGAATTTCCATTAGATGTCTGTTCTGACTGATTGGGAATCAGTGAAGAAAGTTCCGTCATGAATGCAGCCTCCCTGTGGTTTTGTATCTGGACTCTTTGTCCACTGAGAAATCTGAAAAACTTGTTCTTAGTGGAAATAGTAGTTCTTGAACACCCTTCAGAACATGGTCACTGTGTTTGTAAGTGGAGCCTTGAATGTGGAAGCTGTTGTTTTGACTTCTTGCCATGGCTGGCACTCATTTGGGCCACTCACACAATTGAGTAAATGTAAGTAGCACATGTTCCGGTCAGCATAGATGATACTTTAGCACATATCAACGGACACAGTAACTTCAGCAGTTCAGTGGCATTCTAAAAGCTGGAAGGTAGTGATGGAGAACAGATGTCCTCTGCTAACAGAACTATCTAAATTGACTCTGAATTCTCCAATATGGGTGTGGCTGAGGTTTGCAGCTATTTCACAATAACTGATATGCAGCTACAGGTATTTCACAATAACTAATATACAAGTTCTGTTTTGCCACCTCAGCCTCTCTCAGGTTCTGGTTCAACTGCTTCTGACACAGACAGTTGGAGAGTCTCCCTGATCCATTCCGTATCTGCCTCAGGCCATACTAACTACTGTTAATCCAGAAAAAAAATCTTCAAAGAACAGAACTGGCATTATTTCTGGGTGCCGTTTTGTCTTTGGATCCTAGACCTGGATCCCTGCAAGACTGCCTTGTGAACTGCTGACTGCCTGCATTAAATTGTTGGCACATTACTGGGAAGCTGCAATTAGTCCCTTGACCACTGTGTGTTTCAAGCTCAGTTATACACCTGGCAATACATCACTGACAAGCTGTAGACAGGAAATGCTGTTGCTTTGGAGAGTATACGTTGGCCTCGGAAAAGTTGTACGCATACAAAACTACTGCTGTGTGTGTGTGTGTGTGCGTGTGCGTGTACGTGTGCGTGTGCGTGTGCCTGCTTGTGCTATGTGCTTGCTTTTTTTAATAATAAGCTCATGTGCTAGTTTACTGTTTGAAAAATTAAATGCAAAGAAGCAATTGGCACAGGATGCATTTTTCAGAAATATCTGGCTTTCTTCAAGGAAGAAGCGTATTCTTCACAGTCAGGTTGATATGCCATAAAAACTGCATGACAAACTAACCTCTTTTCTCTGTTTTAGGTTACTGCACCTTGCAGTCATCCATGGTGTGCCCTCTATAGCACTCTGCTGCATTGCCCAGTTACCTGTTGAGGTGTTGGAGATCCAGAATGACTTATTCCAGGTGTGTGGTAGGTGATGTTGAGGGAGCACTCAGTGTTTCTTCTTTCAGGCTGGAAGAAGGAAAACTACTGGATGGTCACAATTTATAGCACTGTTGTTCAAATGCTGGTTGTTGTTGTTTAGTTGTTTAGTCGCAGCCGACTCTTCGTGACCCCATGGACCAGAGCACGCCAGGCCTTCCTATCTTCCACTGCCTCCCGGAGTTGTCTCAAATTCATGTTGGTTGCTTCGATGACACTGTCCAACCATCTCATCCTCTGTCGTCCTCTTCTCCTCTTGCCTTCACACTTTCCCAACATCAGGGTCTTTTCCAGGGATTCTTCTCTTCTCATGAGATGGCCAAAGTATTGGAGCCTCAGCTTCAGGATCTGTCCTTTCAGTGAGCACTCAGGGTTGATTTCCTTTAGAATGGATAGGTTTGTTCTCTTTGAAGGCCAGGGGACTCTCAGAGCCTCCTCCAGCACCACAATTCAAAAGCATCAATTCCTCGGTGGTCAGCTTTCTTCATGATCCAGCTCTCACTTCCATACATCACTACAGGAAAAACCATAGCTTTGACTCTGCGTACTTTTGTTGGCAAGGTGATGTCTCTGCTTTTTAAGATGCTGTCAAGGTCTGTCATTGCTTTTCTTCGAACAAGCAGGCGTCTTTTAATTTCGTCACTGCTGTCTCCATCTGCAGTGATCATGGAGCCCAAGAAAGTAAAATCTGTCACTGCCTCCATATCTTCCCCTTCTATTTCCCAGGAGGTGATGGGACCAGTCACAGTGGCCATGATCTTAGTTTATTTGATGTTGAGCTTCAGACCGTTTTGTGCACTCTCCTCTTTCACCCTCATTACAAGGTTCCTTAATTCCTCCTCACTTTCTGCCATCAGAGTGGTATCATCTGCATATCGGAGATTGTTGATATTTCTTCTGGCAAACTAAATTCCTCCTTGGGATTCCCCCAGTCCAGCCTTTCGCATGATGCATTCTGCATATAAGTCAAATAAGCCGGGGGACAATATACAGCCTTGTCGTAATCCTTTCCCAATTTTCAACCAATCAATTGTCCCATATCCAGTTCTAACTGTTGCTTCCTGTCCCAC